ATTAATGTTTTTTATGACATTACTTGACTGAAGTTTTAGAAACATTCCATTTCATTTAATGATTTTAATTCACCTACAGTGTGTTTTGGCATAGTTTGGGATGTTAAGGGGAGGCAGTGACATCTCCGTGGTTAAGGCTGAAGCTAGCTTCTGTTATAGCACCCTCTTTCCATACCTTCATCATAACTTTGGCTTGGAAAGCTGCTGGAGTCTGAAGCTTGCCAGGTCTATTTTAGTCACTTTTGCAAAAACTGAGGAAACCAGCCAAATTACTTTCAAGTTACGAGTTGCTAAAACTTACTCTGATTGAAAATATTTGCTTTTAATGAGTACTTTTAGTCCTTGTCTTCACTTTGATTAATTGATTGAGTTGAATCAAACCATTCCTGCTTTAAGAAAAATTAAACATTAAACATTCCTGCCTTAAGAAAAACTCACTGTCACATAAACTTGTCCCCTGAATGGCTGTGGCTCTAGAGCAATGTCCTTTTCCTGTGTTTGCTCCAGTGGGAGATGTTATTGTCCATGACCAACCTCTGGTGCTTGTCTTTGCCCACATGCTGAAGGTTGCCCCTCCTTTTGATGCCTAAGGGAGGCCTAAGCAAAGCCCAGCTTATTTCAGCCGAGGTGAGCTGGGTTACTTGAAACAGTGACAAAGTGATGCATGACTAAGCTCACCCTCCTGCATGGATGCAGGTAGGGAGCACTCCTGCCAGCAGATCTGCTCTCACCTCTCTCAGGGAGGTTCCATTCACCGAGGGAGCACTATCAGCAAAACAAAGCTGTACCACTGGCCAGCACCTCCTCCCACAAGGACAATTACTCCCAGTGCTATCCACATACGAGAATCTGAGCCAGTGTTATGTTCACACTTTTTGATTAAACTAGTACAAATATTTGCCTTTCTCTACCTCAAAAACCGCTTGTAATCACACTTCTAACCTTTCCATATAATTAAATATCTTAATTTGTGCAGTGACATTTTACAAAGAAAAATGGTTGACATCGTGCAAAGATATAAACCACTCTTAGTTTTCATAAAGCTAAGTCCAAACAGTTTTGTTTGTTTCAGAAGGAATTATGAGTTCACTTACACTCTTGCTGAGATCAAGGAGGCTTTTTTTGGCAGTGGCTTGAGTGGGATCATTACTGAACACTACATAACATTTTAAACTGGTTAGATTAGATGTTAGAAAGAAATTCTTCACTATGAAAGTGGTGAGGCACTGGCACAGGTTGCACAGAGCTGTGGATCCCTGAAGTGTTCAAGATCAGACTGGATGGGACTTTGAGCAATGTGGTGGAAGGTGTCCCTGCCCATGGCAGAGGGGTTGGAACTTGATGATATTTCAGGTCCTTCCACCCCAACCATTCCATGGTTCCATGATTTCAAGATTTTCTTTGGGAGATGACCTGAAGTTACTGCTTAGTGACAAGAGGTATTTACTTACAACAAGTGTTTTACACAAACGTCTCAAATTTTACAGAGCACCTCATTTTTTTCTGTTAGTTTTCATTGCAGAAAGAATCAATCTGCAAAATGTGCGAACAATAGAAGTGCTGGTTTCTAGTAATTGTGACCTGTGCTAGTGCCATCACCTACTTAAAATGTGATGATTGATTGCAAATTTAACCTGTGAAGGCAAAGGTGGGGCTTACTGCCTCTGCTTCCAAATAAAATTTAGCAAACAAACTCAAAATGTCAACTGTTGATAAGCCATAATATTGTGATTTCAATCTGCAGACCATGATGAAAGTGTCTCTTTAATTAAAACAGACTTCTATCTGAATTGCATCTGCTGTCATTGTCTGTATCTATTCTCCCAATAAAATATGTATTTTAGACCTTTGATGCTATTTCTGCAATTCTTAAGTTAAAAAAAAGCAATATAAAAAAATCTGTATTCTTTCATTAAAATTCAAATAGACCAAAACAGCACATTAAAACAACTGAATTGGTCAGACCTCTAATCTGAAAATTCTACAACCTTGGGGAAATTGAGATCACTGTGTGATCTCTTGCACTCTCTTTGTAATAAGTTAGACACTCTAAGCCTTTCTCTGACATAAAGTTAATCCAGCTTCATCCACCCTGTGTTCACATTCCAAATTAGGCTCTTTCTGGCCTTGTTTTCTTTTAAGTACAGAATTTGCTGAGTTTTACAAGTAAGTATTTTCCCCCCTCCCTCTTTCTTGCCAAACTCCTGGCCCTTGACTTCCCCTTTCTAAACCACTCTTCGTTCCATGTGATTTCCAAATTAGTCATCATGTTCCCTCCCTCTTTCATTTATCCCATTCTTCCTCACTTCATCCTGTTTCCTCACCCAATCTCTTAAGTGATCTCTTAAGTTCTCTTAGTCACGTTTCTTCACTCCTCATCCCTTCCATCAATGTTACTTACATGACAGTAGCAGCTCTTTTTTAAAGATCACTTTCACAGTGAGATCCTCATGAATTAATCTCTAAGCACACCCTTTTAACAAAACAAAGTCCATAATACAGCACTGAATGTTCACCAGCAGAAGAGGTACTCGTTCAAGAGCAACAGACATTGAAAGCTTTGATTATAATCAATAGAAACTATGTACCACTGCAAAGAGAGTAGGTTTAGAAGCAGCTCTCATGCCAAGTTATTGTTAAGTTGAGCAACACTAGCTTTGTATAGGTATCAGTGAGACAATTTAAATGCATCCACCTTCCTTTTGAATCAATGGATTATCTGTACTTTGTGTGGCAGTGGCAGAAATTTGCATCCATCCAATTTCACAAACAAATATGTGGTCTTTGTCAGAACTCTTCTGTTTAAGAAGCCACTTAACCTGACAAAGTTATTTAATGACCTTTCTATGTCATTAAGTATCTTCATTTAAGGGAGTGAATTATCTTGAGGAGAGTTTAACTTTTGAAGATGGCATAACACAGGTAACAGATTCTGGACACAGAAGAATAAAACATCAACAGAGATAGAGAAATCCACAGGAAATAACCAGATTTTGGAGGGACTGAAGACTTGAAAGGTTGCAGACAACTGCAGACTACAAAAACAAGAGAAAAAAATAAAATAACAGTCTTAGATTTATGTAACTGAAGAAAGAAAAATAAGAAAAGAATCTCAGCCTGCTATACTGACATTAATTAAGGTTTACAGCAGCCTAAGAGCTTTGGCAGCCTTGGCCCCACTTTCCTAGGAAGAAAACAACATATTAAGAGGTGAAACAGCATTGTCAGAGTGCAAACACAGGGTCCTATTTGGAGGTCAGAATGAGACTTGACTTTGGTCAGTTCCTAGTCTGCATCATAAAAGCAGGATTCAAATTATAGCAATTTCACACAGTTATAAATGTAATTCCATTACTTCCTCTCCTCTTCTTTAATCACAGAGGCTATCTTGTTTCTGTTCAGAGCACAGCACCCCTGGACACTTCAGCAGGGTCAAACCTGCTTCACAGAAAATTGTATGCTAGTGGTGGCCACATTCTCATTGGTTTTAAATGAAGACTAAAACCAGGGGGATGAAGCCAGTACAGATCCAGTGTAGTGAGATCAGCATGATGCAATTTCTCTCTGAGGTAAAATTATTCTGTTTAGCCACTCACAGAAAATCGTTAAGACTATAAATAAGACTCCAAAGACCAATAAAAGAAGCATGAGGGAAGAGAAAGATAATTCCATATTTACAATGCCTACATATACATACACATTTATGATCATTGTTTTGGATTAGGTAAATATTAAGCATCAATTCTGTGAGGTACCATTTAATGCTTGTAGTTGGACTTTTCTGTAGACCTCACAGGAGAAATAGGTCTTAGCAAGGCAGTTAGAGAGAGAACAAATTAGGGAAAGTAGATTTACAAGTCTTTAAAAACTTGTTACTAAATGCATTATTATAGGTATTGAGACTAATTAAAGTTCTGCAACAGCCATCAGTTTCTGTGAAGAGATCTCTCTGTTCACTAGGATTAAGTTTGCTCCAGCAGCAAGATTTATGTGAAACTACAGTGAAACAGATTACAGAACAAGCGTTGTTCGATTCACACATGCTGGTCTTCAGCGTCCTCCTAGAGTGCAACTACTGTGTGCTCCATCTGCAGCTACCTGCAATCTCTGCCAATAACCTAAATTATTACTACAGTTCAGGCAACAGCTGTAGGATCCCTTTTCAAATAGTACCATCCCATGTCTATAAACACACCCTCTAAATTGGGTGCCAGCATTGTTTTTGCAGAATAGTACAAAATTTTGCTCAGGAGATGAAATGCTGTATCAGTACAAACAACACATGTCTACAAAGTGAAGTTTTGGAGAACAGAAAAGCCTGGATGTAAAATTTTGTAGTATTCACCTGCATTATTCACCTGCTGAATGAAGCATGGGGATGTCTCTTGACTTTAGAAATTATTTGTACACCAAAACCAGGTATCTACAATACTTCACCAAAACAAAACCTTTTTCCCTGAAAAGGCTGTTTTCTCTATTGTACCAACAGTAACTATTGAAAGACTCAAATATATGTTGTTAATATATAAAACTATATTGTTTCAACCGTATCCTACTCATTCCATGCTATTCCCTCTGCTGCTATCAGCTTGCTTTACTTACTGTAAGATGTAAATTCCTGGTTATCGTTAGTTTTGTTTTAAGTACTGTAAACATTTATAAAGCTAAGCAATAAAATAAAAATATTATTGTGATATTATTAAAACAAGAACAGAGTGAAACAAACACATGATAATGATGAAAGATACTGGGGTATGTTTGCACAACTTGGGTATATTTTTAGGACAGGGTGTCTTAGTGACCAAATGTATGAGAGATGAGGAATTTCTGCCTGTTACATCACATTATTTTGTTGGCTTTCTAAATATTCTGGACTAAAGTCTTTCTTATACGGCAGAGAAAATATTTTTCCATCCCACAGGTGTAGTGTGGGAATTACTCATCTGGTACATAGGTAGTTCCCAGCAAATAAATGTGTCACCAGTCATTATTGGTATTACCTGTTCCTCACAGCTTCTGTGGCATGACAGCTGACTACAGCCCAGTGGGTGTATCACCAGTTGTTACGCAGATGACTTTTTTTATTTCTGGATAGGCTATTAAACAAGGAGAGAACAAAAATTTCCTGGGTTTTGTGTTCAACATGGTTTTACTAGAAGCCTCACTCAGGCTGAAAAGAACATTAAAGAAACTAACTTGATGTGGAAATTAACAAGGATTCAGTTTTAAAACCAGAAATATAGGGAAAGTGATTGCCTTTGCTGGGTATTCATCCCTTGTTTGCAAACACTTGTTTTGCAATTAAAACAAGGAAGGAATTTATAATTGACTAAGGGAAACACAGTAACCTGAGTAAATAAGTGAAATATCCACACCCATCATATCTCTGGCATTGGTTCTTCAGTTCCAAAGTCCAAGGAGTTGACATCCCTTTAACTCTTAATCCTCTCCATTTTTCCTCTGCAACCCTATTAATGGTTAATCTATGCTCGGGATGAACTTGGATGATGTGTCTCCAACCCCTATAGGAAGTGCTATCTGATCTGAGCCACCTACCCCTGCAGTAGCGATTTATTTTTATTGCTGTCATCAGGCATCCCCCACCCCCAGCTTCAATCCCAATTTCCACAAGTTCAGCAGAGAGCCAGCAGGAAATGCCTTACTCTCACTGTAAAACTGCCTGTGTGCCACGGCTGTGGAGCAGGCTCCTTCCACACAAGCACTGCTGTGACTAGCAGCCAAGGACCAGCAGTACCCCAAACACTGGCACAGGGCTCTCGTCATACCAAGGGCGTCCCTCAGTACAGGAAGGAAACTCTTTCCTTATTAGTTTAATCCTCAATTTAATCCTATCTTCTACCCATCACAAGCTCACTTACAGTTGTAGTGGTTTCTAACATTTCTTGGAGGGTTTTTGCACAAAAAGCTTTTAGAATTAAGTTCTCTGCACATTTCTTCATTTGCCAAAAGTCTCCTCTGTCATTCTGCACACATAGGGTGGGAGCCACTGTCCTCTCTAGCTTTGCACCAGTGACTTTACATACAGCTGAGTGATTCTGAACAAACATATGGGACTTTAATAATATTGTGTAGTACATTTTACTGGGTATGTAAGACTGTTGCTGTCTTATATTAGCTGGTAAAAAGGCCAGTTTAAAAAAAAAAAGTTATATAGATGCTTGGTATGGCAAAACCCAGTTGAGGGTCATCTGTTGGTTACTGAACTGAGGAAGCAGATGCCTGAGCTTCTTCCTTCCCTTGAGCTCCAGAAGATGCAGACCTTGGTGGGCTTCAGGAGAATGCTTGAAGTTCACCTACAGCCAGTGACCTTTGAGGGTGGTATGGCCTTCCTCCCTTTCACCTGGCTTCTGAGGAAAGACAATTGAAGTGACACGTTGTCTTAGAGATGACATTCAATCCCCTGAGCATCCCAGCGCATCCCTCACACCTCCGGCCAGGAGAACTGCCGCGCTGTGCTGGTGGGCAGCTGCCATTTTCCACCCCACAGGCGGCCCTGCAAAGACATCAGCACAAAATCCTCGGATGCGCTTCTGCAGTTGAGTCTACACCGCCTTAAAACAAAACACGTTGATCAACAAGGATATCCTCCAGCTCTCTTAAACGATATGGGTTTGAAATGCCCGCAAAAGGAGCTTGTTTCCCCGGCGTGTACTCTGGTGGCTCCTCGATGAGGGGAGGCACTTCGCTAGCGGGGACAGAACCGCCAAGAGCCGACGCATTTTCTGTCACGTTTTAACAGCGAAGTGTGAGGCAGCCGGAGTCCCGGCTCGCCCCTGGAGCTCGGCAGATCCCCTTGGAAGAGCAGGCAGGCGCTGCTCCCCCTGCCAGCCCTCCATAACCAGGCCGCGATTTTTAATCAAAAGCCTTATTGCTGAGGGGGCGGCGAGCGGAACCGCGGCGGGCAGCGGCGTCGGCTGCTCCCCTCGGCTCGGGGCAAGGCCCTGAGGGATCCCCGGCCGGACGGGCGGGTCCGCCCGGGATAGCCCAGCCGGGTCGGCCGCAGCCCGCGGGGAGCTGCGCTGCGGCCTCCCCGCGCCCGCCCTCTCTCCCTCCCGTATCCCTGGGTCCGCCCGTATCCCTGCATTCCCTGCTGCAGCATCCCCTCCTCCCCTCAATCCCAGCAGTAGCGGCGGCCCCGGGCTCGGCTCCCCGCGCTGCGGCGGCGCTCGGCGGCGGCTCCCCCCCGCCGCGGCCGCCATGTTGGGCTGCAGCGGGTTCGGCGGCGGCGGCTGCCGCGTGTGACCGCGGGAGGGAAGGAGGGAGGGAAGGAAGGAGGGAGGGAGGAGGGAAGGAAGGAGGGAGCGGCGGGGGAGAGGAGGGCGCGGAAGCGGAGGGAGGGAGGGAGCGAGCCGGGGAGGGAGGGCGCCGCCGCTACCCCTCCCCGCCGCCCCGCGCACGCACACACACACAGAGACACACACACACACCCGCACACGCACCGCCCGAGGATGCCCTTTGCCCGGGGGGGCGAAGCCGGGACACCATCGCGCCGCCGGGAGTGAAGCCACCGCCGCCGTCGTCGGGGCCTCCCGGCCCGCAGCGTGCGGCCGGAGCGGAGACGCCGGCGCTTTCCCTCCGCCTCAGGACGCGCACCGGGTGGAGGAGGAGGAGGGCGCCGTCTCCGCAGCAGCCGCCGCCGCCGCAGCCATGGGAAGGATTTGACAGGGCTCGGAGCGCTTTTGCCGGTGTGTCGGGGCGCGCGTCCCGCCCGCCGCCCCTTAGCGCAGCGGAGGAGAAGGGGGCGACAATGAAGACTTTAGTTTTTTTGAATCACTGAAAAGCCTTAAAAGGAGACTCGGTAAGAAGGAGGAGGAGGACGGGAAAGGCTGCCCGGGGCAGGACGTGGCTGCGCCCTGAGGAGGGGGGGCTGCGCCCCACCCCGCGGTGGCCGCGGAGGCGCTGCCGGGGCCGGGGGGGGCGGCGGGGCTGCGCGGCCCCTCATCCCTCCCTCCCCGCCGGTGTGCGCCCTCGATTCTGCTGCCTTTCGCTTATATAAATACGTAAATACATCTGTTTTCCCCTTCCCATCCGTCCTGGGAAGCGGAACCAAAGGGGCTGTTAGCCCGTGGTGCTGCGGCGGGGCTCCTCGCAGGATCGCGCTGCATGATCTGCATTGGGAATGAAGGAGAAGACCTTCTTAAATACTTAACTGCGTGTGCCTATGCACTCACGGTGAAATCGGTGTCAGGCAGTCTCGGTTGAATTTGAGTGCAATTATTATTGTTAAAGCATCAGGAATGCCCATATATGTTTTTGCCCCACTTCTTACTAAGCCTGTTAATTTTTTTTAGGATAACTATTTTCTTCTCTTAAATGTCATGAATACACAGATATCCACACTGTATGTGTGTGTCTGAAACTGCAAGGGTTTAGTTTAGGCTGGGAACACCGAGGTGGGCTGGCAATTAAGGACCATCACAGTTTGGCACTTGTTAAAAAATACTGTTGACTTTTTAAACAACAAAACCCTCAAAAGTTTTTTTTTTTTTGTTGTTGTTGTTTTTCTGACAAAGTAATAATAATCATTAAAAAAGAAACCCCAATGCAAACTGAAACAACCATGTCTGGAGAAGTGCGTTTGAAGCAGTTGGAGCAGTTTATTTTGGATGGGCCAACACAGACTAATGGGCAATGCTTCAGTGTGGAAACCTTGCTGGATATACTCATCTGCCTTTATGATGAATGTAATAATTCCCCTCTGAGAAGAGAGAAGAACATCCTTGAGTATCTGGAGTGGGGTAAGTTTGAATGTGTTTATTTTGTGTACATCCGTCCATGTTCCTGTCTGCTTTGTATAATGTCTCTGTTATTTATGTGTGCGAGGGGATTGTTTATAACTCAGTGTTTTACTGGGAAGTGTTGTCAGTTCCACTGTATTTAAACTTGGTAGTGGTGCTAAAAAGAAATCTGTATTGTTTTTTTGTCTTTGAGGTATGCATGTAAAACGTAGTTCATATTTTTTATTTTTCTTTTTTGACATGGATCGGGCTTTTGTGTTCCTAGCATATTTGTTTGCCTTCAGGCCCAGCTGTTGAGTTCTGTATCTTAAAATTGCTGGGAATATGGAATGGTGAGGGATAAATTCTCTGATGCCTGCAAAAATATCAATGCACAGTCCTCTGATTTGCTTCTGCAGTTGAATCTGTACTGCTTTAAAATAAAACATGTTGATCAACAAGAAAATCCTTCAGCTTTCTGAAATGATAAGGATTTGAAACATCTGTGAAGATGGAGAAGATGACATTCTCTTCTTTAATATAAAATTGTTGCTGACTTAAGTAGATTGCTTTTTTCATCAGGAAAATCAGAGTTGAAAAGCAGAATGAAAATCTGTGTGTCCCCGACAGACTTTTAATTTTGTGGGAGATAGGGTATTAGTAGATTTTTAAAGGAAAGCAGGTGAATGATATTGTGCCAGTTCTTCTTATGTTGTCACAGAACTGGTTGACTCTATTTTTTTCTTTTTAATTCTCTTTCTTCCTCCTCCTAAACTCAGTTGTAAACCAGAAGATGCAGTCTGACATAAGAACCTTGATGAGAACAGTTACTGTATCTGACCTTCAAACTTCAAAGTCATGCTGCACTTCTGTATTTGCATACAGAACCATTTACCACATTTGCTTTGTAATAAATACATGACCATGCCTCCTTCATTAAAAAAAGCATATTTTTGAAACATGTTAACAGGCATTTGATTAACTAGGTGGTTGAGCTCTTCAAAATGAAGTTGCAGAGGAAAGACATTGTTTTGATAACTGATCTAACAACTTGAGGCTGATATGTGTGTGTTTTATTTTCCTGCTCCTCTCTGTAGTCATACTGACATCTAAAGGACATCTGACTCAGTAATTAAGTTTCTTGTAGTGTTCATATTGCAGTGTTTTTTGTTTTCTTATTATCTGGAAGAACAGGCTATAATTAATGCATTCTAGCAAAGGAGGAAATAGTAATTAAAAGTTCTTCTGAATAATCTTCCCTCTAAAACTGCCACTGGCATACAGAAGCTGTGAAAGACTGGGGAAATATGATGGCTCCAAGGGTATTTTCTGTGCAGGAACTTAGTGTAGTCTGCAGTGCATCTAGCCAGGTGATGATACCCTGTAAATAATAATAATAATAACAACCAAGTTAACCATATCTAGATGATCAGAACAACAGTGTGTTTAGGACCCATTGTGTTGGGTACTGGTGCATTGAGTGGTGGTTGTTTAATAGGTACATGTATCATTGCAAGGCTCTGACAGTAGCTCAAAATTTCTGTAATAAGCTTTCCCATCTGCTGATGGAAATAATACACTGTTTTGGAAAGGCTGGACTGGAATAAGGTTTCTTGCTGGCCTATTTTTCCTGCTATTTTTCCACTCTCATGCTCCAGCTGTGCCTTAGCAGGACTCTGAGGCTTCAGAGAAGACCAATTGCTTCCATTTCCAGGGCTGAGTTACTGTGGTCTTCTGTCTGCTCCCAGCTCTGCTGTCCAGCCTTCTGCCCTGGGAGCTTTCCCAGGAGGGCTTGTGAGGTGACAGGGAAGAGCCAGCGGTGGCTGGTACCTGCTGGTGGAAGTGTCTGTGTGAATGATGTCTGTATCCTGCAAACGCTCCCAGGAGTGTCTCCTCTGAGGGCCAGCCCTCCTGGTGAAACTGGCGGTCTCTGGCATTCCTCTTGGGATCAGGGAGTTGGCAAAATCAGGCCCTTAGAGAGGTTGGGTACCCTTCAGTGCTGTGGTGCAGTGGAGTTACTGAGGGTACCCTGTGCTTTGATATAATCATGACCCCTCGTATCTCTCTTCCCAGAAGGAGAAACAATGCAAGTGGTTGATTAGAAAGAGCTTATATGTGGTTTTCAAGTCAGAGATGTGCTGAGTAGTGGCAGAAGTGGAAGGCTGGCAGCCAGAAATCATGGACTCTGCCCACACCTCTAAAGGACTCAGTGTTGAAGTGCTTTCAGCTCAGTTTTTTTTAGCTTCTCTATTTGAACAGCAGGAAAAGTAGCACAAATTTTACACCAGGGAGTTCAGAAAGCTGCTGCATGTGGAGCGCTCTTGGTTTTGAATGTACCGTATAAAATAGTGTGTGTTAATTTATTTTTCCCATCAGTGGAATAAAACTTGGGGGCTGGTATATCTATTGGTGGATGTCAGTTGGATGCTGGCATTTTGTGGGTTTCTGCCAAACATCTACAGATTGGCTCAAATATTATGAAGAGTGCAATCTGAATGTATTGGAACTGGTCAGGGGACTGGTATGAACTGGGATGTGTGTGTATGTATACAAAATGCAGAGTACAAATTCACTCCTGAGAACTGATTGTCATCTTAAACTGTCTTTGTTAAAATAAATTGTTCCTTCTAGAAGTAAATAAGGTTTATTTTTAGTCTGTTAAGTTTAAGAAAAGGTTAATAAACATCTGTTCAGTGGTCACACAGACTCCTGTTGAGCAGCAAATAATTTTTTTCTTTTCAGCAGTGTAGTTTTGAGGTGTTACTGTTTGGTTTTGTGGAGGGTTTGAGCGGGGGTTGCATTTGGGTATGTGTATTTTTATACAGAGTGTTCTGGGTCTGAGATGTTGTCTGCTGTATTTCATGTAAGACTGAACCACAGTCTGACTTTTTGGGGGAAAGGTTTAGGAGATACTCTACCATGGAGAAGCTAATGTCTTAATGACAGCCATGTGACTGCTGCTATATTTAGGGGAACTAAGAAGCTTCATGTTCTAGTACTTAGATCTTTTAGGACTACTTTATGAACTTGTAATCTAGAACTATAACTTACTAAAAAATCAATCGGGGTAAAAGAATAGAGATCTGAACTAATTGTTCATGTTTTGGCTTGATACTGCAAGTTTAACTCAGGACGTGGAGAAAGTAAGGTCTCTACAATGTGAAGTTGAGCTTTAAATTTTTGTAGAATTTCAGTCTTTTTTGCTGCTTGAAATGACATTAGAAGTGTCACAGATGGTTAGAAGTGTCAGGTTAATTATTTTGTGATTCAGAAGCTGCTTTGCTTCTAAAATCCTATCATTGGCTTTAAGTGAAAATATAATTGCATTCCCTATTTTTATACAGTATTGATTTTGTGACTTGTTTGTAAGATGATTTAATTTTGTTGTTTATATTCCATAGGTATCTTATATGCCAACACAGCCATGGAAAGAGCCAATGTATTTGAGTTCTGAGGGTTAAATCAGGGCACATTTTGAGATATCAGGAAGAAACTGGAACATTTAGATTTGGCTTGTTCTATGTATTTGATGCTAGTTTTCATTTTTATCTGTATTGATAGTTGTATTTGTGATTTAGAAAAGGGCTTGTCTAATTATAGCAACTGGAGCTTACCAGAAAAAGCTGTTGAGAATTCCAAGCACTTTGCTTTTTCTTGTCTACTTGTGTGTGAGTTGCCATGCTGATGCAAGAGTATAAGGGAGGCAACGAAGGCTGATAAGGTGAACTTGAAGGAGAACTATAGTGATAAAAAGAAGCTTTTGGAGATGCTTTGGTTCTGGGAAAACTTTCTTTCCAATGGCCCTAGTTTGAATTGCTTTTAAAAAGAAATGA